TTAATAATCCTTTCATTTATCTACTGTCGATTTGGGGGACGCAAATTCCCCAGAGCAACTGTGTTTTAGTTCCTTTCTCTTAAAATGTTCATTATGGATAAAGTCAAGCTGGTTGTTGTTGTTAGGTACTATCAGCTCCGACTCATAGCGATCCTAAGCACAACAGAACAAAACACTGCCCAGTCCTGAGACAGCCCCACAATTGGTGTTACACTTGAGCCCATTGCTGCTGCCACTGTGCCAATCCATTTCTTTGGGGGTGTTCCTCTTTTTTAACTGACTCTCTATTTTACCAAACATGATGAGCTTCTCCAGGGACTGGTCCTCTTAACAACATGTCAGGAGTATCACAGATGAAGTCTGGCTATCCTGGCTTCTAAGGAGCACTCTGGCTGTACTTCTTCCAACACAGATTGGTTTGTTCTTCTGGCAGTCCATGGTACTTTAAATGTTCTTCTCTGGTCTTCCTTATTCATTGTCCAACTTTCATATTCATGTTGTTGTTGTTGTTAAGTGCCTTCAAGTCAGTTCTGACTCATAGTGACCCTGCATAGGGTTTCCAAGGAGCAGCTGGTGAGCTTGAACTGCCTATCTTGAGGTTCAAACCGATCTTGCAGTTCAGTGTGTTAACCCACAGCACCACACCAGGACTCCTCATATGCATATGTTGTTGTTGTTGTTATGTGCCATGGAGTCGTTCCAACTCATAGTGACCCTGTACAGGGTTTCCAAGGCTGTAAATCTTTACAGGAGCAGAAAGTCTCATCTTTCTCCCGCGGAACAGCTGGTAGTTTCGAACTGCTGACCCTGCGGTTAGCAGCCCTATTCGTAACCACTATGCTACCAGAGCGCCTTCCATCAAGATTACAACTTTATAAATTCTATGGGAAAGTTCTACTCTGAGTCTCTTCTCAATTCACAGGGTCACTATGAATTAGAATGGACTCAATAGCAGAGAGGATTTTTGTTTTAATAGATGTATAGGCAATTGAAAATACCATGGCTGGGGTCAGGCACATCTTAGTCCTCACATTGATATCTTTGCTCTTGAACACTTTAAAGAGGTCTGCTGCAGCAGATTTGCCTAAAGCAATATGCCATGCGATTTTCTTGACTGCTGCTTCCATGAGTGTTAATTGTGGATCCAAGCAAAATGAAGTCTTTGATAACATCAACCTTCTCTCCATTTATCATGATATTATTTATCAGTCAAGTTGTGAGAATTTTTGTTTTATTTACATTGAAGTGCAATACATATTGATGGCTGTGGTAGCTACTTTATAACCTTTAAAAGAGTAAAAACATGTACTCTCAAAATAAAAGTAAAGACAATTATTGAGGGACAGAACAATTTGCAAATGGATGGCAAACCTGTAAATCATACAAAGTTGCTTTGAAGTATGGAGAGGAGTGCTTTTATAGTAGAACTGGGAGAAGGGAGTGCATGATGGTCTTATGGCTACAGCCACAAGGTGGATACTATTATCATCAAGTCTATTTCCAACAACCTTCTTCCGGGGACACCTTGAATACATTCAATGGCCAATTAAACAAGATGTTTGATAGGGGACCAAGGTTTCCAGGTTCCACCCAGCCAAAGGCCCATGGCCACATGCATATGAATTTGGGATCTTTGGGAAGAAATCAAGGTTACATTCTTAGGAATGCTGAAGCAAGAGTTGGTAACAATGATGGACTTAACCTACATCTATGGATGCAGTAGCTCAAGAGGAAACAAATCGTTACAGCAAGGATCATTCACACAGGGTAAACAGGGATGGGCAACTTGGACATTGGTTACTCAAAATAGGGGACTACAAAGGCAAGAAGTGACTGGCTTATAAGCTTTCAAGAGGGAGCCTAGATCCAGAGGGTGCGGAGGAAGGTAGACTCTCCACTGAGTAGTATCCAATCTGTCTGGCTGGTGCCGATGAAAGGAGATGGGGATCTCACTCATGTGGCACAATAGTGAATAACTGCTATCATGACTGACTGTGAGCATTGGAAATGTAAAGGTAGACGTTGTGTAGCAAAAGGAGGGGAGTGGTTGACTTTGCAGTCCAGGAGCTGAGGTCCCTGGGACCATCAAGCGAGAAAAGCAGAGTGCGGGACCCTACCCAGAGAAGCAGTAACGTCAGAGATGGAGGCAGAGATGATGACGTGGAGAGATGGAGTGGCCAGGGACTCTAGACCCAGCCAAGGAGAGGGGCTGTGTGCTGACGACCAGGGAGCAGGCTTGCAGGGTATATACCCTTTGGTTGGTTGATGATGCATGGAGGGGATTAGAACCATGGCAATGAAATGACATACGATAGGAAGAATGTAAAGCTAATGTTCTCCCATGTAAACTATCACATAATTCACAATAAAACATTAAAAAAAAAAAAAAAAGCTAAAGTGAATAGAGAGAAATACTGTTAACTGATGGTACATGGAGGGGATTATAATCATTATTATGAAACAAGGTGTATGATTTGTTGAATGCAAAACTGATGATCTGCCCTGTAAACTTTCACTCAATCCACAATAAAAACCTTGAGAAGAAAAAAAAAGAGTTTGTAACTAAGTAAGAGTTTTTATTCAGACCTATTCCAGCCATTTTATTATGCCAAGTGACTCAGTTTTAGAGGTTTTCTAGCACATCACCTTCCAACTTCAATAACCATTCTGCTTCATTCACACTCTAACGATATCTAAAAACAATATTGTTTTTTCAACTGCATGAGTTTTTAAACAAATCCCAGCTTAATCTGAAAATATTTCAGAGTGTACAAAGATGCTTCAGAAAGTTTATGTAAAAATTCCATTATCTTTTTTTTTTAAACTTTTTATTATGAATAGAGCAAAGCATCAATTTTACATTCAACAAACCACATACTTCATTTCAACTCCCTGATTAAAGTCCTTCAATGTAAATCACTTTTCCTGCTACTGCCTTTCCTAACCTTTCTGAATTTTTCTGACCATTCTCTGGTGTGTGAACCTCACTAATGTCCCCACTCTATAACTAGATATTGCCTGACTGAGAACTGAGTCACAGGGGTGAATTCAATTTTAGATTTCCATAAGTCTCTAATGGATCAGTAAGCCTGGTCTTATGATAATAAGTTTTGTTCCACATTTCTCTTTTTCTATCCAGTACTTTCTAATGTGATCCCTTTCAATGCAATTGGAAGTGGTAGCCAGGTACCATCTAGTTCTTCTGGTCTCAGAGTCGTAGAGACTGATGTTCACTGGCTGATTCTTTCTAAGAGTCTTCAATTTTCATCACTCGTCTTTCCTCTGGACAGGGAGAGATCAATAGTTGCATCTTTAATGGCCACTCATGAGCTTTTAAGATCCTAGTTGCTGCTCACCAAAGTAGGATGTAGAACATTGTATTTGTGGACTAGGATATGCCAATTGACCATTCCATTTTTTATTTTTTCATTCCATTTTCACTAACTTTTAAAATATTGCTCCTATTTCTAATAGATAAGGGCCTATGGTATAATTTACCTTGTTCTTCTGTCCTTTGAACTTCCTGAAAATTGGTTGTTCTATCTAGACTCTGATAAGATTAAAAGTTTTTCTTTGGCAAAACTACCTCTGTGGTTACAGTATGTCCTTCCATCAAATGGCATGTCATGTTTGGTCATCTCGTTTGTTGTTAGCAGTTAATGCTCAGTGTCTAGATCTATTAGCTTATCTGGTATTGCAACATTGCATTTCCTTTCTTCCATATTTATTATTCAGAATTCTCCTATAAAAAAGTAACTCTCTTGTCTACCAATTAGTAGAGTTTGCACAGGAAAGGAACAATACATGATTCTTTTACTTTATCAGTAGATTATTTCACTCTATCAGTCTTCAAAGTAATGAGATGGTTCCCTATAGCATATAATGGTTATATTATAAGTATCATATACTTATATGATTTAAATATGTTGGACGCTTCAGTTCATTATAAGTTAGTTTTTCTGTCAATGTTCAAAATTTCCCATTTTCAACAAGTGGGAGACCTCTTCAAGTTGTAGTCCGAGTTATTTTTTATGGGATCCTAGATGACTTTGAAGCTACCAACCCTTTGAAGCCTTTACCCTTCTCACACTGAGTCCCTCATCTCCCTGGCACTAAGTAATTTTTTTTTTTTTGTCAGAATACTAAGGCCATGTGTTACAAACAGTCAAAATGTAGGATTTTTCTTGTGCTTAGCTCATAGCTCTGTAAGATAAACACTGGACTGCAAACCACAAGGTCAGCAATTCAAGCCCACCAGTCACTCTATGTGAGAAAGATAAGGTTTTCTGCTCCCACAAAGATTTAAAGCCTAGGAAACCTTACACAGGGTGACTAAGAGTTGGAACCAACTTGATGCACTTAACAACCACCACCACCTCATAGATTGCTAAGAAGAGCACATGAGATAATAATTGTAAAGCACGTGGAACAATGCTTGGCCCAAAATCAATGCATTATAAATATTTGTTAAATAATGTTTCCCCCCTTGTCATTCAACTCCATACCTCTCTGCCATCTTATTCTTTTCTTCTTTCCTTGAATCTCAGCACAAGCACAACTTCCGTTCCCAGATTATAAATTCACTCAGCTCGGAACAGACACTGTCCAATTCCACGGCAGATTTACTTCTTTGAAGACAATGGAGCCAAAAGTAGGGGCAAAATCTAAATAAGGTGGTAAAGGGCCCAGTACCCTAAAAGAGTTCTTAGGTTCAAAGCCCATTTTAAGTTGGCTGAAAATCCACTGTGATCTGCTTCCTCAGGCCTCTTCACCCCTCCTGCCCTCTTGCTCTGGCAGAGACTGGAATGTTAGGGAATTCAGTTGTCATCATTTCTTCCCTATGTGACTTGGGAAGAGAAAGTGGGAGCACAGCAGGTCAGGGAAACACCTGCCAAATTTTGAGACAGGTTTATTCCCAGTTCTGTGTCCCTTGCTAACCCCAGTTCTAACCCTCTCTCATGACCAGCTGCAGAAAGGAAAGAAAATCCTTTGGCTCCAAAATGACATCAGGAGAACCAAAGACAAGTCTCAAGGATGCCTACCCATCTGCCAATAGGCTGTTGCCAACAAAGGAGGGGGAGGAAGAAGAGGAGGAGGAGTACTGTACCCCGGGAGCCTTCGAGCTGGAGCGTCTCTTCTGGAAGGGCAGTCCCCAGTACACGCACGTCAACGAGGTCTGGCCTAAACTCTACATTGGTGATGAGTAAGTGTGAGGATTTTTGTTTTCTTGACATTGAGGTGCAATCCATACTGAATCCATACTGTATATAGTCTTGGATCTTCATCAGTATTTCAAGTCCTCTTTGCTTTCAGCAAGGAAGGAAGTGTTGTTTGAATATTGCAGGTTGTTAATGAATCTTCCACTACCATGAACCTAGCTTTCTCTCATTCCCCTCATGAGAAATATTTTCTTCCTACTGTATATTATGTATCTTTCCTGTGACTTATAATAGTATTATTAGCTAAGTTGCACTGAATTCTTACCGTGTGCTATACCTAGTGTTGGTATCATTTAAATCCCATAACAACCCTATGACATAGGCTATCATCACTGCTCCCATTTTACAAATGAGGAAATCAAGACAAAGAGTCCCTTCATTTAGTCAGTCAGTCACTGTTTCCTGGCACCTTGCTAGGAGGGGCAGCAGATACAAAGAGGAAACTGAGACTCACCAGCTCTTTCACCCCCTCAGTTCTTCCATTTGCTTTAGCATCCTAGGTTGGAGAGCAAGTTTTGAGTCTCTTCTCTTACATCCACTTTGGTTTTATCCTTTTTTCTTATCTTACGTTCTTGATGTCATCCCACAACTCTTCTGGTCTTCAGTCTTTTGTGTCTAATGCATCAAATCTGTTCTTGAGATGATCTCTAAATTCATGTGGGATATGTTCAAGGTCATATTTTGGCCCTCACTGACTTGTTTTCATTTTCTTCAGGTTCAGCCTGAATTTGCATAGGAGCAATTGATAGTCTGTTTCACAGTCTGCCTCTGGCCTTGTTTTGGCTGATGATATGGAGCTTCTCCATAGACTCTTTCCACAGACATAGTCAATTTGTTTTCTGTGTATTCCATCTGGTGAGATCCAGTCATCTTTTGCTTGTTTTAAAAAGCTATTTGCTTCCCACTCCCTCCATACACAGAGTAGACAGGGATGGGCAACTTGAATGCTGGCTACCCAAAATGGGGGGGAAGGGGTGTTTACAAAGGCAAGAAGTGACTGGCTTACAAGTTTTCAAGAGGGAACCTAGATGCAGAGGGCATGGAGGAAGGTAGAATCTCCACTGAGTAGTATATAATCTGACTAGGCGAGGCTGATGAAATGCAGATTGGTCTCTTGTGATACAATAGTGAATAATTGTTATCAGGACTGCTGTGAGGGTTGGAAATGCAAAGGTAGACATTTTTGTAGCAAGGAGGGGAGTGATTAACTTTTCAGTCTAGGAGCGGAGGTCCATGGGACCATGAAGTGAGAAGAGCGGAGAGCGGGGCCCTACTTAGAGAAGTAGTGATCCCTGAGATGGAGGCAGAGACGATGACGTGGAGAGATGGAGCAGTTGGAGACTTTAGACACACAGAGGGAGAGGGCTGTGTGCTGACCACCGGGGGGTAGGCCTGTAGTGTATACCCTTTGGTTGGTTGATGATGCATGAAGGGGATTGTAACCATGGCAATGAAGTGATATACTATAGAATGAATGTAAAACTAATGTTCTCCCATGTAAACTATCACATAGTTCACAATAAAAAAGCTTTTTGAAATGAAGAAGTCACTAGTCTTACAAAATTTTGGCATGAGATCTGTAGCATCATTTCTATGACCAAGGCCATATTTTCCAACTACTGATCCTTCCTCTTTGTTTCCAACCTTTACATCCCAAGTGCCAGTAATTATCAATACATCTTGATTGCATATCTGATCAATTTCAGACTGAAGAAGTTGGTAGAATTCCTCTATTTCATCATCACTGGCTTTAGTGATTGGTGTATAAATTTGAATAACAGTGGTATTAACTGGTAGATGGAAGGATATTATTCTATCATAGACAGCATTGTACTTCAAAACAGATAATGATGTTCTTTTTGATGACAAATGTGATGCCATTTCTGTTCAATTTGTCATTCCCCACATAGTAAACCATGTGATTGTCAGATTCAAAATTGCTAATATCAGTTCATTTCAGCTCCCTAATGACTAAAATATCGGTGTTCATGCATTCCATTTCATTTTTGACAATTTCCAATTTTCCTAGAGTCATACTTCATACATTTCATGTTCCCATTATTAATGGATGTTTATAGCTGTTTCTCTTCATTTTGAGTTGTGTCCCATCATCAAATGAAGGTCCCGAGGGCTTCACTCCACTCATGTTATCAGCTCTACTCTGAGGAGGCAGCTATTCTCCCGTCATATTTTAAGCGCTTTCCAATCTGAGGGGCTCATCTTCCGGCACTATAATCTGACAATATTCTGGTGCTCTCCACCATGTTTCAATGTTCAATATTCTGGTGCTGACAGTGTTCTATTGCTATTCATAAGCACACCTTGTTGTTGTTGTTGTTGTTCAGTGCTGTCCAGTGGAATCCAAAGGACACTCCACTGCTTTTCAGAGGCTTCATTTTATACCCATGTGAAAGTTGCAAGTTTTTACAATTAAAATCTGTTAATATCCACAGCTGAATCATGTCATCCTATCAGTATCTTCTCCCACCTCTTCTTACCCAGACTCATCAGGAAGAATCATTTGGTGAGAGCTGCAAAGACTAAGGCTAGAAGAGCATACTAAATAATTCCCTACATCACAACCACCCTTAGTACAACAGAACAAAACTCTGCCCAGTCCTACACCACCCTCTCAGTCATTCCTATGTTTGAGTCCATTGTTGTAGTCACTACATCAATACTAATCCATCATGTTGAAGGTATTCTTCTATTTTGATGTCCTTCTTCAGAGTCTGATACCTCTTGATAACATATATGTGAGACAAAGTCTTGCCAATGCCCACATCTAAGGAGCTTTGGGGCAGTATTTCTTATAAGACAGATTTGCACATTCTTTTAGGGGTCCATGGTATACAATATTCTTCACCTACACCATAATTCAAATTAATCAATTATTCATTCTTCCTTATTCATTGTCAAGCTTTCAGATGCATACGAGGCAACTGAAAACACCTTGGCACTGTAGTCCTCAAGATGGTATCTTTCCTTTGAACATTTTAAAGAAGTCTTTCACAGCAGCCCAAAGCAATAATGTGTCATTTGATATCTTGACTGCTGCTTCCATGGGGTTGACTGGATACAAGTAAAATGAAATCCTTGACAATTTCAATATTTCCTCCATATATCATGTCTATTGGTTCAGTTGTGAGAATTTTTGTTTTCTTTATGTTGAGCTGTAATCTATACCGAGGGCTGTAGTCTTTGGTTTTCATCAGTAAGTGCTTCAAGTCCCTTTCACAAGGTTGTATCATCTGCATATCAGAGATTACGAAAATATTTTTGTAAATTAAAAGTAATATGCAAAGGCATGTTACTGTTACTAATTACTGTTACTTAACTGAGATGTCCTGGTGTGGCTCTGTGGAATAAAGCACTGGACTGTGAGGTCGGTTTGAACCCCAAGTTAGCAGTTCAAACTCATCAGCTGCTCCTTGGAAGCCCTATACATGGTCGCTATGAGTCAGAACTAACTCAACGGCCCTTAACAACAAAAACAAGTGAGAAAAGTTTGGATAGGCAGGTCAGGGACTGCTTGTGGACGGTTTGAATGGTGAGCAATGAACTTTATTTGGGGAGCCAAACAGACAATACAATAAAATATGCTTGCCTTCTCGACATTTGCCATAAAATTATCTCTTTCACTTAGAGAACTGTCACTGCCCTTAAATTCAGTCCAGCTCTGCCTAATCCAGCCCTAAAACAGACATGTTGTTGTTGTTTAGTGCCGTCGAGTCAGTTCCGACCCATAGCAACCTTGTATAGGGTTTCCAAGGAGCGACTGGTGAGCTTGAACCACTGACCTTGTAGCGCAAACAGCTTTGCAGTCTGGCGTATTAACCCACAGCGCCACACCAGGGCTCCAAAACAGACATGTTGTTGTTGTTATGTGCCGTGGAGTTGGTTCCCACTCATAGCGACCCTGTCTAGGGTTTCTGAGGCTGTAAATCTTTATGGGAGCAGAAAGGCTCGTCTTTCTCCCGTGGAACAGCTGGTAGTTTCGAACTGCTGACCTTGTGGTTCGCAGCCCGATTCGTAGCCACTACACTACCAGAGCTCCTTAAAACAGACATACACATACACAAATTGACTATGTGCCAGGAATGCTTTGCCTGTGTGCCCAGCTGGGGAGGGAACCTAAGGTCAGTCAAGCTCTGTGCTTGTTCCTAACTAATACCCATTTACAACTCCCTTTAACAAAATTAAGAAAACTCACAGATGCTTATTGAAATAGCAATTAATTCCACGGTCATTGCAACTTGCAGAGGCTAGGTCTCAGCTGAGAGCAGACCAGGATGCCTTTTGTTTCCTGGTCTCTTTGTAGGACTTGCCCAGAAGCAGCAAAAGTTCAAATCTGGCAACTTATGTAGAAAGCCTGAGGGTTTTAATGTTTTGTTTTGTTTTGAATAGATGGATTTTATTGCATCTTAAAAACATCGCCGGTAAGTCTTAGAAATCATCTGGCCACATTTCCACAGCTGGACAACACTTGGATCTTATTCATCAGCCTATTGAACAGTACGTTATACAGGGACATGTTGTTGTTGTTGTTAAGTGCCATCGAGTCGGGTCCGACCCATAGCGACCCTGTACAGGGTTTCCAAGGGTGTAAATCTTTACGGGAGTAGAACAGGGACATAGTTATCCATAAATGTTTGGATATCCTTGTTTATAACTCTGTTGCTTGCTGAATTAAAGCAGTTGAAGTTGATACTAGGTCAATGTCATTTCCTTCTGTACAGTGAATTACTTAATATGGCTCTTCTAAACCTAGTCTTCCCCAAAGGGCTGTCATTTTCTCATACAACGGTGGCTTGTGTGATACCGTGATGCTTGAAGCTATGCCATGTTTCCAAGTGCTAGGAGGGTCACCCCTAGTGGATAGGTTTCACTGGAGCTTCCAGACCAACAACACACTAGGAAGAAGGAAAAGGAACAGTCTACTTATGAAAAATTAGCCACTGAAAACCTATGAATAGCAGTGAAA